AAGAAAAAAATTTTCCCAAGATGATTTTTATTTTTTCTGACTTCATTTGTAGTGAGATTTCAAAATAAATTGCACCTTAACATTGTTCTATAAGTTGGTATGATTAGAATTTCTGTATGACGTATCGTCTTTTGTCTTCCAGTATCAACTTTATTTTTCTTAGGGACGCGATATTGCATTTTTGCACAGGTGAATTCAGTTTCACCCAGTTTAAATGGTTTTATTTTAATAAAAGTTGGTGAATGTATTTATCTTACTGTAAACAACAAGTGAAAAATTTTCAGCCTTATCAGTTGGACATTCCGGTTTTTATATTGCTTTTTTTTTAATTCACTAACAACTAACATGGCTTCGAGAAGGCCGTACGCAAAGAGCAAGGAGCACTGGACGCCGCCGTAGAACAACAGACCGTGAAGATCGCCGCTTAAGATTATTGGCCTTAAGGGACCGTTTCTCCACTACCAGGTCCATTGCAAATGAATGGTTTGCAGAACATGGAAGACCTATTGGCATGCGAAGTGTTTACCGACGAATGAGAAGTTTTGGCCACTCTGGGTCCTCCGTTTAACTCGAGAACACCGACGTAATCGCCTTGAGTGGTGCAGACAACGGTCACTCTGGGATCAGGAATGGAACAGTATTGTCTTTAGTGACGAGTCTCGATTTTGTTTAGGCATGCACGATGGTCGTGCCACGGTTGGAAGGCGACGTGGTGAAAGGAGGAATCCATAGTTTTTTGTTGAAAGACATGTTCATCACACTGTTGGAGTTATGGTTTGGGGTGCTATAGCTTATGGTTCCAGGTCACCTTTAATCTTCATCAGAGGTAACATGAACGCGCAGCGTTATATCTACGAAGTTCTAGAACCCCATCTTTTACCCTATCTTGACACCCTGGCAGATCCAACTTTCCAACAAGATAATGACCGACCACATGTTGCAAGAGTCACGATAGACTTCTTTCAACATAATGATGTCACATTGTTACCATGGCCACCAAGATCTCCCGACTTATCCCCAATTGAGCACGTGTAGGATATGATGGGTAGGAGATTGCTCAATTTGCAACGTCCTTCTCAGACTGTAGAAGCACTTCGAGAGGAGTTGGTGGTTGCCTGGTATGAGATACCACAGGAGGACATTGACCACCTGATCAGAAGCACGCCTAGGCGCGTTGAAGAATGCGTAGCACATCAGGGTGCATCCACACATTATTAAAGGTCAAAGGGCTTTAAAGCAGTGCAATCATTTTGAAATTTTTATCATTTACTTATTATGCTTCATTAAGTACTTGTACAAAATTTTATTAAAATAAAACCATTTAAACTAGGTGTTCGGATTTATATGTCACTTAGTATATTTGCCTTCATATATAGCTCACAACTCCTGAACATTCTGCGCTATACTGCACTGGTGAGATGCTAACGAGCATGAAACGCCACTGTCTGTGGTTGGTCATGGTGATAAAGACGGAACTATGTAACTCTTTTAAATATATCTGTATCTTTGACTAGGAATAAAAAATTTCTAATTGATAATCGATAACCTTTACTTAATTATCAAACCAGGAGCATGTATCATTTTTCAAAATTATTTTTGTAATAATAATTCCATTTCAAACGATAAATCTACGCTTTTCCCTCTCCTTTTTTCAACTGCATAAGCGATGACAGATTTTCATATGTCGCTTGCAATCTTTCCGCATAATTTTCATGTGCAATTCCAATTGTGACATACGAAGCTAAAGGAAAAGATCATCGACAATAACCTGTAGCAAAATAGTGTACTCTCAGGAAACCGATAAATATCGAATCGCACATCCGAGCGTAGTGACCGCTGCCGTAACTTCGATAGAATAAAAGGCGGCCATGCTTTATTCACGGTGACAGTTTAGAATTGGTAGCGCGAAACAATCTTCACGGGATAAAACTTTTATAAACGTGCTGGAAGTAAAGAGCAAGAAATCGTCTCTTCTCCCAATGTTGGCCAATGGTCGGTCAGACGTTGATAGTCCAGTGAAGGAACATTTTTTTGGAAAACGTATTTTAGAGTATATATGGAATAAAGACTGAGGAAGCGCAAAGAATCTTCGATTGACGAGGATGAAATTCCATTTACTTTTTATTTATAAAATCGGTTGGTTGGGGATCAAAATGACGTGTGGTTAATTTGCCTTAACTGTAGTTTGGGAAACGACTATTTATTATAAATTCTCAAATTCATAGCAATTCAGAAATACATTTTAAAGATACCTTTACGAGTGCATAGCCTGATTTTTCTTTAAAACCGCAAAACTTATCGTACTATCCATCGTGATCGTCCATCCGCAAGAGATTCACTGTCCTGCGCGAAACTTTTAATGCAATTTCGTTGGAGATTTCCTCTAAGTTTGGTGCTGCTTCGCGATTCGCATAGCCATGAACATCATTTGTCTTTAAGCGTGTTACTGTTAGTGCTGCGCCCTCCGTTCTGCTCCAGGATACGCCGCGTAATGCTCGGATAAATTGAAGTTAGTCTCGAATGGAGGTGCTGGAGAAGATTGTCCGAGGAAGTAGGACATCATGTTGATATTTGTGATAGTTATTGTATGCCGAAATTCCCTGATAGTTTTGATACCTGATGGACGAGCCAGAAATCTCGCATTCTTGTGAGAATTTTTCCAATGTGATTTCCATTTACACCAATAGAAAATACGCATGCTGTAAAAAGAACTCATTTTCAACATAGATTTTCATTAAATGTTTGGGCTAGTCTGGTAAATGGCATGCCTACCTTTTTCCACCTCGACTGACCGGTGAAATTTATTAAGATTTTCAATCTGCCACAATTATTAGAAAATGTTCCTCTAAATGTGAGACAGAATATGTGGGACTCCGAATAGATGGATAGGGTACAACGAACTCATTTGTTGGCCTGCTCACTACCCGGATCTAACACCTAGCGTTTTTTTTCTGTGGGACTAGTTTGACGAATTTTACAAGTTGTTAAAATAAATGACACAACTTTGAAAACACCCTGTATAGCGAAGATTGCTATCCAGGAAAAACAATCAGAAGTAACTAGAATTTTCCAAAAGAGTGTCAAAAAATTAGAACAATCTCTAGATTGGAAATTTATTCATGGATTTATTTTTATGGAGAAATTTCAAATTCAAAGTTTATTCAAATTCAAATTCAAAAACCAATATAAGTTACAAATTAAAAAACAACCTTCAGTACAATTTAAATAAAAAAAGCTTCAAAAATACATGAGCTTGTATACTCTTGCTAACCTGAATAACCAAGATTGCAACAGAAATCTGAGCGAAGATACTAGCATCAGATCTAGAACCAGCAAGTAACGGTATATGAATTGTGAAAATTCTGTAAACTTTCGTAAAGGGTAAATGTCTGGATCTTGTCGGTCACAAATCCTAAATTACGTATCTGCATAAACAAATCTAAAATTCATAACAATAGTACAGAAGCATACTAAAAACACTCAGAAGTATAAATATAGAGTACATAAAATATGAATATCTGAAAAATGATAATATAGGGATATTTCGAGTAAGGTCAAACTATGTTGTTTAAACAATAAAAATTTTGCGTAAAGGTTAAGCAGAGAAACAACAGTACTACAATTTACTACAAAAGAATTTACTACAATAGAATGGACACCTAAGCTATAAGCTTGTGTGTCATACAATATACAAATATACAAATTCAATGCATGGCTAATGGTCATAAGGTATATTATGAGCAAATGTATATAACAAAAAGTAATAAAAAAAGCATTAGATAGAAGCGAAATTACTGAGTTGAATCAAGCTACCGTCGATGCAAGCATGTCAAAGTTACTTAAGGTGAACTTCTTAATTCTTTTTTGAAATTATACTTCCAGAGGATTTTATATTCTAGGGATAATTTATTATCCAGCCTAATACCACCAAATTTTATGCATTTTTGGCAAACAGATTCATTCACTCTGGTATAGGTGTAACTTATATTTATTTTAGTTCTTGTTTCATAAGCGTGGCTGGTTGGAACATTGTTTCGGGAGTGAACAAATTTTAGAGCAGCAAAAATATATAAACCTCTAACATTCAAAAGATCATTTTCAATGTAAACAAATCTGCAACTTGACCTACATGGGATACGGAAAATAGTCCTGACAATATAATTTTGCGTAGTTTGTAGTATTTTTAAAGTACTAGTGTATGCGGCTCCCCAAATACTTATCCCGTAAGTTAGTAGAGACCCCACAAACGAGTTATATATTGAGAGAAGACTCTTTCTGCTTAAAATATTCCTAAGAATGAAAAACTTATGAATAATTCTCCTTAATTTCGATGCCAAAAGCTCGGCATGACTCTGCCATTTTAAATTACTGTCAATAGTGATTCCTAAGTATCTAATCACTTCAACTCTTTCGACAGTGTCAGCACTATCATTTATAATTAATGCAATGGCATGCCTGCTTTGGTTGGAGAAAACGTTATAGAGATATTAAGTTTAAGTAAATTGTTATCCAACCAGCATTTGACTTTATTTAATGACAACTCGGCATTCCGTATTGCGTCATCCCATGAATGACCAGTGCAAACTAAAGCAGTATCGTCTGCATTTTACAGTTGAAATTACATCGAAGTAGTTTATTTATGTATATGAGGAACAGTGTTGGTCCCAAAACCGTCCCCTGAGGCACACCTATTTTGATCTTTTGAATGTTGCTTAAATCTGACCCTACCTTAACTTGTTGTAATCGATCAGCCAAACAGTTCTCAAATAAGTTCAGAACTCCGCTACGCACTCCAACACTTTCTAGTTTCTTTGATAAAATTGTATGAGATACTGAATCGAAAGCCTTTTGAAGATCTAGGAAAACTGCAACAGTCTTATTTCCATTTTGAAAATGTTCAAGCACTTGTCTTGTAAGTTCTTGTAAAGATTGCTCTGTATTGCAATTTTTGCGGAACCCAAATTGACAGTTCGATATTATGTCGTATTTCTCAAAAAAATAACAAAGTCTGTTATTTAAACACTTCTCAAAAATCTTCCCAAATACATTGATAACTGAAATAGGTCTATAATTGAACATATTGTCTTTGCTTCCAGATTTAAATATTGGTATCACTATGCTTGAGGATACTGAGGATTTGAAACAGAGGTTGATAATGTTATAGGGTGGCTGATATACTTCATGATCATCTTGATAGTTTTAGTGTGTAAGCCATCTTTTCCGGGTGCGCTATTATTTTTCAGATTACAAACTATTTGTTGTAACTCTATGTTATCCACTGGAGTTAGAAACATAGAGTGAGCAATGATGACGACAATTAACAACAATTTTTATGTTTACACCGTCCAACTTCCTCAAGGTTAAAACTTTTTTCAGTTTATTGGATCGTATAAAATGACTATAACAAATACTAAAGACAATTCTTGCTTAGAATGATCCAAGAAATTTAAAAAAATGGAGCAAAGAACATTATTTTTGAAATTTGTTCAAAAATTGTTTAACCCACACCGGGTAAGTTCTTGGCTATTGAAGCATTCGTCCTCGTCTATCTACGTGAATCACAAAACGTGAGAATCTCATGGAAAAAGGTATGAGCTGACACTGTTTGTCGATTCGAAGCGAGTATCCGAGGATTAATTTTTGAAATTGGAGATTAAGCGCGCGCTGTGTAACTTAGGGATGTACCAGCCCGAATGGGCAGTGTGTATGTGTGATTACACACAGTCAGACAGACAAGTGCTGCATGGAAAACCGTGGAAATTGAATATTCGTCGGTGATCCGGAAAATTGCCATGTTCGCTAGCAGTCTTTCGGTTTAATTTGGTTGGTTGGCGACCGATCAAACTATCAGGCTTCCAATTTACGCCGGTTTCGTAGCCAAGCGGCGAATCGTATGTTCTATTGGAACCGACTAATCTGCGATTCCAACACTTACGTTATTTGATAATTGTTACTTCCCACGCCAAGGGCGAGGAGGTATTGTGCCCGCAAAAAGTTGCTAACGAAAAACTGTCTATCTGTTCTCTAATCCCTGGCCCAGCTATAAACTAATTGAATGGGCATTTTGTCTGATTCGATACATTTTCCGCTTATTTTTTTGTTAGTGACTAACTTTTTTCTCAAAGGGCCTGTGCCGAACCTAATTCTTTATGAAGTGATGGCAGCGATTTGTCAGCAGTGCAAAGTCAACCTACTTACAGCATTTTTGATATTAAATGCCAAATACGTCTTCGGTTGAACGCACCAATTGTAAGAACTCCTCACTTACCTTGACTGTGTAAGGCTTCCTCAAGATAAGTATGCCTCAAGAAACGATCATGTACTTGGTTCTGAAGCAAAAGTAGTTTTTGAAACATGGTACTATATTTTATGATAGCTTGTAAGCGAAACCTGAAGTCCTGCATACCTGTTCCATTATTCAAGTCATTGTAACTTTATAATCCCCATATACAGGGTGGCGTATCGAAAACGAAAGACGCAGTTTTTTTTTTGGGAAACCGCTCAGACCCGTCGATTTTGTTTTCGAGAGGAACACAAGTTTGGCAAGAAGTCACGTTAGCACGTGCAGCCCCCTGGGCGGGGGTGACACCAACCCTAAAATCTTAAATGGAAAAGGGGGTCTAGTGATACCTTTTTTTAAAGGTCTTTCAATTATTTGAGCTTCAGTTCAGTAGTTTTGAAGATTTATTAATTTAAAGCTTAAAGTAGACTTTAATACGTACATCAGATTAGTTTGTACTACTTTCAGAAGAAATTTGACTAAAAGAATTAATAGGTAAATGCTTTTCTTCACTACGCCCATGGTTTGTTTATCATTTTGTTGTTGAAAATAGCTATTGAAGCGTTTTTTGTGGCAAAAATGTTATTTCTTGAAGATAAAGAAATATCTCGTGCTTATTTTAAATAGGAATTTATTTAGTACATAGTTTGCGATTGATTTGTTGCTAAAATAAATTGTAACGCTTTATTACATAAATTAACCATGGTATATTTCACAGCAGAAAGAGTTGAAATTATCGAAATATTTTTCGGCAATAATCAGTGGGCTAATAGAACACCAGAAATATTTAATGAGTGACATGAGAACAGTAACGTGCATCGAAAATATGTTCTAGAACTTGTAGCTAAATTTCGGAAAACTAGGTCAATCGTCAATAAAAACCGTAACATTGAAAATCCCATAAGGAACGAAGCACTAGAATTGGGAGTTTTAGGGCAAGTTTATGTAGATCCTACGTTAAAATTGGAGACTGTGTGTGGTGTTAGTCAACGTACTGTCCAACGGATTCTAAAGACCCATACTTTTCATCCGTATAAAATTCACCTGGTACAAGAACTTAATGAAGACGATTTTGATCGGCGATTACAATTTTGTGAAGACATGAGTGAACGAATTCTAAACGATGAACATTTTCTATTCAACACTTGCTGTTCCGACGAATGTTCCTTTTTCTTAAATGGCGTAGTAAATCGTCCGATTCTAATCCCAGAATGTATCATGAGGTCATACACAACAGCCACAAAAATAAAACCCTGTATTTATCAATTTCAGTTGATAGCCAGTAAAAAAAAAGTTTCCGACCAGCATAGATTCAGCTTTTCTCCGCGCCACAAGGAAGATACAAAGTATCGATGCCTGCCAAAGTTGAATTGGTAATACACCCTCCCGTCGGCGTTGGCAGGATTTCGACTATCCGACTCGGCCAATTTTCCCCCCAATTTTTCCGCATTTCCTTTGGCATCACGAAACCTCCGTAGATCGTAGCACGAATCCAACTCCTTCGAACGCTGTTTATTGCCTATTGCGGAGCTCAATAAAATAACGCAAATTATAATTCAGACGCTGGATGGCGTGTCGGAGGGTAGTTAGGCTGCGAATTGGATAGCGGGGATGCATAATAGCGGGAACCGGGAACGACGGTTTGATTGTTTTTTCCGGGATTATAATGGTCGCCGATTGGTCGTGTAGCGAAGATATTATGCGTCGCTTGGTAGTTTCCGCTAATATTTTACTAGGAAATTACTTTTCTTGTAAAAAATATATGCTTAAGAGTGATATTGACAAAGATCGCTAAAGGAATCTTTCTATAAACTTCATTCATCTAATCATCTTCACAAATTTCCCCGATCAAGTTGTTCAAGGGGGTATAATATATATATTTATGACTAATAGCAAAAATGTTATGGACGAAAAACGAGACAAAATGCAGGTTTTGGCACTTGTTAGTAATGCGACGATAATTTCACGCAAATACTTGAAATTCTTCAAATCCGTAGGATTCATACTTGCAAATAACAATAACAACATTGGATTATATTGGTCAAGTAGTTTTTTGAGAATATCTAATTGTTTATCTCAAACTCCTGTTTTTCGGCCATCACTACTAGTTTATTGAGCAATATACAGGGTTAGGTCAAAGGGCATTTTATAGCAAAATACACTAGTTTACCTTATCGACATGAATCGCAAACCATTCCGGAAGATAAATGTTATTTTTATGCGAAAATCAAAGGTTACGTTTTTTTCTCCTAAACAAGTTCAAACATTTCGTATTTGTGAGTAATTCAACAAATACGAAATATTTGAATTTGTTTAGAAGAAAAAACATAACTCATCCTTTTTTGCATAAAAATAACATTTACCTTCCGGAATGGACTGCGATTAATATCGGCAAGTTAAACTCGTGTATTTCGTGATAAAATGCCCTTCGAACGAATCCTGTATATTGCTCAGTAAACTAGTAGTAATGGCCTTCAAACAGGATTTTTGGGATAAAAAATTAGAATTTCTCAAAAACTACTTGACCAATCTACTCCAATTTTGTTAATCCTAATAATTTGAAGACTCTCAAATATCGGCGAGGAACCATCGTCGCATTACCAACAAGTGCCAAAACCCACAGTTTGCCTTGGTTTTCGGCCATAACATTTTTGCTATTAGTCATAAATACCTAAAAATCTTATATAAAGACTTTCGTCCCTGCCAACGCTTTCGATTGAATCGGAAAAAACACGTTTTCTCATTCTTTGTTGTCGAAAAAAAAGTTTTCCCACAAAAATTGGTGTACCCATTTTATGCGTCCATGTTTTGAATACCCCCTTGAACAACTCGCAGCAATAAAACCACACACACAATTATTTCAGAAACCAGGGGTACTTTGGTCTAATATGATTAGACCAAAGTACAAAAGGGTACAACCACCTAAAATGTCGAAGCTGGCCTTAAGATTTTAAATTTGGGTAAAGTGGCCATCGTGTTCTGACAAGAAGAACAAAAACTGCATCGTTACAAGGTTCATACAACAGATCAACCCGGACTCGTCCGAAAAAAAAACAACACGCTTCAAACGACATACAGGGTAGTAGCGACGTGCAAAGAGCACAGACAGCTAGAGAGCAAACAAAGCTCTAATTTCCAGCAGCGGTTCGTAACGAATTCTGACATTTATTTGTATTTCAAACGATACAGACTGCCCGTAGTCCAGCGCTTCATCCATGGATCGAATGCACCACCTGCTCGGGAATAGCGTGAAATCTACCCAGCACAGTGCTAGTTTGACACCAGAAAGGATATAAAATATAGTCTACATGCTGGAAACTGAATTTGTAATCGCGTAGACAAGCGATTAACGATCACTGTCCAAGAAAAATTGTGCGAGAACGCTGGATTAGTAGCATCGATATACAGAGTCGATTGACGGTAAATGTAAATTCTTGGTGTGGTGTTTGATACCAATTTGAGGTACAGGGTGTCCGCAAAGTTGGTGTTTTCGTTTACACGACGTGTAGATCTTGAAAACATAAGCAATTTTTCTTAGTACCATATACACCAATGTCTTAAGGGAACCGAGATAAAGGGCTCTGTAACATAAAAAATATCTGAATACCGTCCTGTAGCCGCGACCCGCTGCGATATCCCAGACTGGTACCGGCTACTAGCTCAACCCGACGACAGAACTGGGTCGGGGGTCGGGGTCAGTGTGTCAGGTCAGTATGCAACCTTCAACTGACGGTAAAGGGTCACGCGTATAGAAGTAACGAACCCGTATAATCGATTGCGTTTCAAAAAAAAAATAATAATGGCACACTCATACACCAATAATGAACTCGTTGATATCTTGTTAATTTATGGCGAATGTCTTCAAAATGCTACAGAATCGTCGCGAGTGTATGCAGATCGTTTCCCAGGACGACATCATCCAAGGCCCCGCAGATTTGTGTACCTGGCCCAGAGAGTCAGGGATACCAGCCATTTGGAGGAATTTCGAGGTGGGCACAGTGGGAGGCCTAGACAACCACGAATGGTGCAAGTTGAGGAAGAACTACTGAATCGCGTAGACGAGAATCCCTCAACAAGCACTAGAGACGTGGCTAGAGAAGTGCAAGTATCAAAAGTGTGGCAAACGTCCAACGTGTACAAGCCCTTCAACCTGACGATTTCCCAGCAAGAGTGCGGTTTTGTGAGTGGTTGTTGCATCAACATGACAATAATCCGGACTTTTTGAAGTGCATATTGGTGACAGACGAATCTACGTTCACGCGTAATGGGGTGAATAAGTTTCGATTTCAGG